TAGATGTAATATGAGCCATATACCACAGCCCTCAGTAGAGAAACAACCGGACGTTAGCCTTCTAAATTCATTGTTTTCAAGCAACCCGGATTTAAACTTCGATAACAACATTCTCTCAACTTAATATCACAACACTTAATATCCAGTGCTGTCTCTCACAATAGTATGTAGTATGTATTGCTATTGTGAATGATGGGGACGGGGCTCACAACCTGATACTACGGAGCGCTCCCTCCGAAGCGTAGTCAAGGAAATGCAACGCTGTCCAAACACTGGCAGTAATTAACTACACCGTAGCTGGGAAGCGACAAATCCCGTCGGGCTGGAACAATGGGGAGGCTGCCCGCGCCGCACGGTGTCCAACAATTTGGATCATGTTCAAATATTTTGTTAGTGTTATTGGAAGCTGATAAGCTGATGTTAAAGTTCCTATTATTTTAACGATGAAGCATGCCAGAATAAACGAATGAACGCATCGCATTGCAAACTCGTATTTTAAACTATAAATTAAATAGGGTTCTAAAGCTAGGAGTATCTTTTCGTTGTTTGTTCCTTATTCACGCGCGTTATATTAGTGTACTTAATTACATTTTTTCGCTTTGTGGAAGCTGACAATGCAAGGCGTTATTGTCCTCTCCTTGTCTGTATTTAATATATGTCTTTGTTAGCATACACTCAATATTGTGAAAATATCGTCTTTTGCTCTCTAACATAATAATTAATTTAATATTACCTGTATTATATAGGTAATATTACCTGTAAGTACAACGATATACACACATAATTAATTTCTAGTGGTTCGCAACATTGCGAATACATGTCGTCTTAACCACGCGTCTGTTTGACGTTGTTCAAGCAGTCCTAACATTGTTTGGAGTGCATGCCGGCACATATTATTTGGAGTGTACGGAGCGGTCGAGTTGTGAGCACTCGGTCACCGGAGATTCCTATTTATTACGGCTGATTGTAATAGGCTGCGCCTGGTAATACGAAACGGGGCTTCACTCCCCGACAGAACTAAATCACGAATTTAATGCAACAATACTATATAAAAAATGGCAACAATGTTATGCAATGGCAAAGATAATACAGGTGTATTATCTTTGCCACATATTCACGTGACTTTTTGGCGTAGGTACATTATATACAATCAATCATATTAAAATGTTGTTTACATGTTTACTCGCGGTATGGTTATACTATTTGATTTTTATGTCGTAAGACAGTTATTGTCCCTGATACGTAAATTAGTTGTCTCTGATGTGACCTTTTGCTTTTCGCTGTCGGCTGAGCGCTTTCTGCCCCGACGCAAAAGAAACTATGCCGACTACCAACTTGATGACAAGTTGTCGTGCGCATTCCGAGTTTGTAATTGAACGTTAATTAGTACGCGATATGTGTCACTAAAGCCGAACTTGGAACACAAATGGATTAGGTTCCGTCGAGCGACTGCTCCGTTACTTCTAATAGGTAGACGACACTGATTGCGAGATATTATATTACCGCAGGCGTCGCGTCGCCTGAAAACAGGAGCTCTTCGCCGAGTCAGTTAAGAAAATTAAGTTACACATACACCAAAGTATTTTGAATTTATACTTCTTTATTGGTGCGACTAAGGGGTAACTGAAAGTTTTGGAATTCGGCAATACAAAGGAAACGCGTTACGCCAATGACGTATTTATATAGCAACGGATTTTATATATTTACCTTCTTGAACTGACATTTAAAATAAAAATACTATAAACTTATTATTAATTAAATATTAAATTATTGGTTTAAAATTAAAAATATTAATAATTTATAATTTAAAAATAAACTAAATACTATAGAGATTTTTTTTTGTTCAACAGCGTTTTATGGTTACACTCGCTCATTTTTTCTCCCGTTCAATTACATAGACTTAGACTTACCTTCAAAGCACGACCAGATGGGCTTCTACTGAGCTACGGTTACCCTCTACGACGTAGCTGTAGGTGCCGTTCTTTACACGCAACAATGTTTTATTTGCGCAATGCACAAACGTCGATGGAATTCTAAATTCAAATTAGCTGACCTCCTTTTGCTGTCGACATTCCCCGAATTCGGAACGGAGAGATCTCTTGTCTGTGATGCCTACCGAAAATGAGTGGAACATTTTGCCCGTTTCAAATTTCCCGCTACAGTACAATGTGAGCGTGTTCAGGATAATAGTGATCCGAGTCTGTGTCACTGCTCATCTAATACTCAAGAACTAATCTGTTTGGATGAAATAACGCTTGTGTACTTATAGACGCACGTAAGAAGGCACGTCTTTAGCGTAGCAAAATAAAAATAACTAAAAATTTTATCCCCTATATCAGAACTCTTTGTTAACAACTTGTTTTTTTTTTTTTTTCACAAAAAAGATTAAACGCAGTTTATAACGCTTTTATTAAAAAAACTTGGAACTATGGGTAAATGTCAAAAAGCTGTTTTAGTTGCCATGTGGTAATACCGTAAAGTTTGTCGTTTTACAACCAACTTAACCATATCGCCCTTTGTCTGCCGGTGTACGCGTGCATCGTAAAAATATCACTCTCATAATTTTTCCAAACCCGCCAAAAGAAGTATAACTTCAAAAACGTCCATGACTTGTTCAGCGCCCGGTTGATGTGCGAAAAAAAACCTTAGCGAGACTGAAATGGGCGTGATTGCAAGATTATTTGAATAGCGACGGAATCATCGTCTTTAATAGCTCGCGCGGCCATAATGCCGCGCGTTACGATTTTTAATTCCGCTAAAAACGGTGCTTTATTGCGGGTGCATTCTGTTAATATGGCGAGATTCACGTCCCGCTTTTTGGTATTACGTCGACGACGGTTGATGGCCAGATATTAAAGTTACCAGCAGTCGCCGTCAGCTCACCTCAGAAGCTAGGGTGAAGGAAATGTAATAGTGGACAGGCCCTTGGTTGTTGATTGTTATACGTGATTATCGCATTTGAAATTCGGTTGGTTTCGTTGTTAATATTAGTATAACTATGCCGCTTAACTTATTATACCTGGAGGGTTTTTTTGGTAAATCATAAATTTTGGAAATAAAAAAAATAAAAAATAAAGAAAGCAATGATCTGATATAGAAAAATAATTACAAAAAAAATAAGTGTGTAAATGATCGTGACACGAACCGAAGCCTTTTGTTTCGGGGACGCCCGATTACCGACCGAGCTATTATAATAATTTTTTCGGCGAAATTTACCGTCATATTCGAATGATATTTTTCATTTGAATATGACTATATAATTTCTAAAAATGAAACCTAGCTAGATCGATTTTTCACCCCCGAATCTACGCACATACTAAATTTCGTGAAAAGCGCTGGAGCCGTTTTCCTTCGATATATAATATATATATACATATGTATATATATATATATATATATATATAAGAATTGCTCGTTTAAAGGTATTAGATATATGTAAAATTCGTCATTATCACTATCAAAACACTAGTAAAATATTAATTTCATAACTAAATTAGCAAGAAGATAACTTTGTTTATCATAAACGTCTTACGTTCACCCACGCTCTGACAGGAAGAAACTCCCGTTAGTTAATAATATCCGGCAGTGCTCGTGTCAATCTCGGATTAACTCTCTAGTTAACACGTTCGTGAGCTTACATAAATATCAATAAAGCGGCGTCTCTGCCGTTCAGGAAATAAAGTCGGAGCGGAAACTTCGCTAAGTGATGCACTGTATCTCACTTATACATTCAAGTACCTGGAGGACCGGAGCTTTGCTCGGTTTTTTTTTTTGGTAAATCATGTATTTTGGAAATAAAAAAATAAAAAATAAAGAAAAGAAGAAAGTAAAAAAATAAGCGTGTAAATGATCGTGATACGAATCGCGGCCGTCTGTTTTGGTGCCGCCTGATTACCGACCTAGCTATTATAACATTTTTTTGCGGCGAAATTTACCGTCATATTCGACTGATATGATTCATTCCCTGAAAACTGGGATGAAAGTACATTTTCTAAAAATGAAACCTAGATCGATTTTTCGCCCCCGAATCTACGCACATACTAAATTTCATGAAAATCGCTGGAGCCGTTTCCGAGATTCCGATTATATATATATACAAGAATTGCTCGTTTAAAGGATAAAAATATAAGATATTATGAGCCCACACGACATTTCAAAATCGAAGCATGAACTTGTCGTATTTAGACTTTGAATTCGTCGGGAAAACTCAATGTTTATGTTGAATAAAATACAAAAAAGATAAATAAATATATATATATAACGATATTTTACCCAATAAAGCAAATAAAGGACAAGAAACAAATTATGTTATTATTAAGTCTGAAAAATAATTGTTTTCAACTTATATTATAACATAATACTGCCGTATCGTTTTCATACTAAATCAACCCTCATTGTGTTCGTGTTTTGCATTAGGTAGATAATTCTTATTTAGTCAGCAGAAACCACATTTAGTCAATTTATACCATGTTTTGTATTTATGGATAAACAGCCTATGCGTTTTATTTATGCATAAACAGCCCGAGGCACGGCGCTGGTAGTAAGTACACTGTCAAAATGCCCGTGGTCCAACCGATCCGACGTTCATCTCATTACCTTTTTCAATCAACTTTTCATTACGACAATCTCGCAATTTTTTCTTTGATTACAACGTAACCTTTAAACGTATGCTTAAACCTTAGGTGGAAACTATTTTATTTTAGTCTCTTATCTTAGCAGCCGAATGTACCTTACTCACCTTTGTTTTTTCATAGTTAATGCATTGTCTCTCCGCTCGTTGAATAAAGATCGTGATCGCTCATAAAACATCGTTTTAAACATCTCAGTAATTATTGTATAATACTGAAACATGAAATTGAATGTGTTCATAAATATTTGGGCCCGGTAAATTCCCCCGAAGCGTAACTGAGCAAACTATCCAACCTGCTGGGAAACGACGTAATGCAAATTTCACTATTAACCGCAAACACGCGGCGGGTGTACGTCTTAAAGCAATTTTACACTTGGACCGCTTCTCGGCTTGGTTGCGCGATGTCTCTATGCATCGGCCGTGTCCCGCGTCTACACTTTGCCCCCACCCCCCTATCTCCCCCTCCCCCTCCTCCCCCGGCCCCATAGCCCATCGTGAACGCCGGATATCCCCGTTGTGACGCGAACACCGCAGTCCCTCCGATCTTCGGAACTTCGTTATCGTCGACTGTTCGCGCCGCTCCAAACCGTCGCACATCAAAGGCCCGTTCCATGCGAGGGTGTAGTTCGCAATTAGCGCTTTCAAAATCAGCCATCGTCGTCGCCCCCGCTGCTGGGGAACGTGCACTGTTAAGCTCGCGACGAAAATTAATCAAGCCAAGTTCTTTTACCGAACGCCACTGTAGCATGTAAACACAGCTCCGAGCCAACTCAGCCCGCATGCCTGCTATTTACCTTATCTAATGTACACGGTTCGCTGAACTCATTAACTATCAAACCAAGTCAGCTGAACACGACCGATGAAATTTTCGTTCGATTGCTGCGAATCGATATTGTTCGCGTAACTCGGATGCAACTACATAACACGCCGATATCACTGAGAGTAGTTTTTAAGAAACGAAATTAAGAAAATTTTCACCCGTATTTAGGTTAGTTTAAATTCTCAATTTTTTTTTATTTACTTCATTATAGTAATATATGCTTGCCCAGATATATATATACGTGAAGCTATGTTTGTTTTTAACATGATTTCTATAATTATGCCTAGTTAAATTGACTTTCATCTCTATTTAGTTTATGTAGTGTTAAAAACTTATAAAGACTCCAAAATTTTATACATTTTGTTAGATGATACGTAGGTTAGAATAAATTGGTTAGATTTTAAATAATTTGATTATTATTTGATTTAGTGTTATTTTAAACTTTTAAGTGCTAAGAGAGTTTTTTCGCAGACCGTTATTTTTTTTTGGTAAAAAATATTTTATGTAACACAATTGTATTTATGTACTAAATCAATTTTTTTTATTTCTATCTATTCATGGGTGGATGGGGTAATTTATTTTCAATATTCACAATGGTCTCATAGACATCGCCGTGATTTTGTCGAACACGGTCTCGAATGTGAATGGGCTGCAAAACGTGTAATACCTTTTTTCGGTGTTCACCCGGAACACCGAAAAAAGGGCTTTACGCGTGAACGTGCACCCACACACACACAATTGCGTGCATCCATGCATATGTAATAACGGTAGTACACCTCGCTAGTTATTGAGCGAGGCCCATTCGGCCGTAGGTGTCCCGCCTTTAATTTGCGCACTACGCGGGGAGCGAAAATTCGTACGCCCGCGGCGACAATATTCATTTTGTTTATACTGTCGATTAAAATCGCTCCATCGTTTAATATACTGACTACTACTTCGAATACTGATAAAAATATTTGGATATTTGCTAATATTAATATGAATGCGATACTTTGTATAAACATTAAGACACATGTCTTCGATTAATAACTCCACGGCGCAACCTTCAAATGTAACAACATGCCCCGGACAACGAATAAATTTCGTTGTAATCTTCTATATATTAATAGGTGAAGCAAAAACTTTGTACCCCTTTTTACGAAAATTGCGCAGACAGTCGATTACGAAATTTCCCACACTTATAGTTTATATAGAGAACGAGTGCAGAATATTAATGTTTTTTTTTAATTATGCATTTAAAATACATTAAATCAATAAAAAAACCATCACACACACTACCATGCATAATCAATTATTGGAATTTCGAACACTGGGCGACCACTAGTTAACATAAAACAACCCGCTGCAAATATACCACTAAATATACATTTTCTATTTGATTTTGAGGAGTTTCCTAATGTGCCTTCGGAGATTAAGGTCTGAAACCGATGAAGTCAATATGGGACCTTATTCGATCCCAGTGCAAAATTAATTTTTAAAATCGAACCATAAATAACAAGTTTCTGTGATAACAAACATTAAAGAAATACTCAGACTTCAGAACCCTCTCCCTTTGAGGTCGTTTGAAAAGATACTTTCATTTCATTGAAATGAAAGTATCTTTTCTATATATCTTTAAGTCTAAAAGTCAGTACTATCGTAGAAAACGTACTTTTCATTAACGATACGATTGGCATCGGGGCTTCTCCTCTAATGCTTTCAGTTGACAAGAGACCGGTGACTTCTTTACCTTCACATCGTTGTGATTCTATATAAAACCTCGTTTTATTTATTTCAACAGAAATGTGCTTTATGTATTAGCAGTTGCTAGCAGAATTCACATATCGTATACCGATATACATTTTAAGGAGTTTCGCTACACGTTACGGATAAGTAAACACTATTTTTAGATATATTTGTGCGCTATGGATAATGCCTATCGCCTCGGTAATATAATTTTCCATATTTAATGTTACTATTACTTCCCAAAGGAATTAACAGAAGGATTATATAAAAAAATAGAAACTTCTAGTTATTCGTTCGCGAAATGGGGGAGATTCCAAAATGATGCACTTAGTCCCCAGTGCATCCCAAATAAGTTTTAAATAAAGCAACTTTTTAATACACCTTAAACTTGAGAAGTTATTCGTCTTTTGCGGGTATCGAATTCTGATTTGGCGGCGCGTTTGAACATTGCCATTGGGTGTATTGTGGCTGATATAACGCCTAACACTTTGTTCCGGAGTCTTCGAGTGAAGCTTCTCTAGTAGATGACATAAGACGTGTGACATAGACGTTGTAGCATCAAGACGTGTGACATAGACGTTGTAGCATCAGTTGCTACCTCACCAGCACTATGCAAATCCCGTGTTAATGCAGGCGGACGTGCGGAGACGCGTATTTTGTATCGATCAGTTGACGCAGGCGGGGCGGTCGCTCGTGAGCTGTATAGTACACAAGGCGAAATCAGCACGCGTGTCCCATGGCGTGTGGGCTTACAGGCGGGCTTCAACGCGGCGACCCGACGCCCTCCACTCACACCGAACGGCTGATATATTTCAGACCGACTTCAAAAAAGGAAATCAAGGGAGATTCCATTTAGTCATATAATTGTTTCATTGGTATTGAAACTTGAACTCCGCAGATAAATAAAGGAGTCAAATAGAAAATTTACTTGTTTATGTGAAAATTTGTTAAGCAAGCGGGCGCTTCACCTTAAGTGAATACCGCCGTCCATGGACATTTACAACGCCTTAGAGCTTGCAGATGCGTTGAAACCCTTTTAAAGATACGGTTTTCGGTTACCTCACTCGCCAGACGACACGCATAAGTGCAATAGTTCCTAATTCCCAATTTCATCGCTGAACTTGGGTCACTGTGGTTATTTACTTTTGGTCCTATTGGTGGGAAATGGATTTATGGGAGATGGTAAATGCACAGCATTAGTCTTGATTCGCCCAGAAGCACTCAATTTGGTGCGAATCGTACTTAAGCACGAGCGAATCAGTTTGAAGTGGTTGGTCGGTTCTACACAACTCTACACACTATCGAGATCTCCGCTAATTGCGTGAAAGCACTTGTTTTACTCAATTGAATATTAAAGGAATAGCATTCTATTCGAAGGTATTTTGTGTGCTGAAGCCCTTAACACAACAGCTACATTGAGCACCATAGCGAAAAATCTTAGATATAACCACTGTCATAGTTCGTTTTCGATTTTTTTTTTAAAAACAGAAAATGCACTGACAAAGTTTCACAAAAAAAATGTTTTTTTTTAAACTAATTATAGTTTCGTAAAGCTCGTCGTGTTGGAAATATTGCAAAAGCTTTTGCAGAGATTTTCAGTAAAGAGCCTCTAATGTAATAATCTCTCAACGAAGAACGAGTTAGTGTGTCACCTTTACGGCCGCTTGTGATGCGGAAATGCAAATTTCCGTTCGGCCTCGACTGCGATGGAGCTTCAAAGTCGATAGAATTAAAAGCGTACTCCTTGTTCCATTAGAACCTTTATTGATGCCCGAACGTTTACCGCCCTGTAGAGGGCTCCTGCCAGAGTTTTTGCGCTCATTACTCGAGTAATGAATTCCAATTCCGACCTACCCCTGTAAACCTAATGCCGAGATTAATTGACACCTTCCGATATTATCGACTATTGCCATCGGTGAGGTAATTTGCACGTTTGGGAATCGATGTGAATTTTGAATGCCACCCAGTACAGATCCGCTGTAGAATGACACAAAAAGGGCTTACATTTATTGTATTGTTCTGGAAAAATTGTACGATATTACGCAATATCGCTTACTTTGTCTTATTTCATAGGATTAGAAGTTGTACTATGCATTTCCTTATAGTATGCCACTTTATCGAAAGGACTAGTCAGTTTGATGGCCAACTTAAATCTGCTTAGTTGATTCTGTCGCTGCTTTCAAAAACTCTTAGTAAGAAAGGTCTAAGAAGAGCCCACAACTTTAACTAAAAAGAAAGTATTGCAGAATTTATTCAGTATCGTAGTCCTTGAGTTCATGAAGTAATGTGTCCTTTAGTACAGACCTTTTCTCCAAATCGAACAGCTTCGTTTTTGCTTGGAAATAAATATAATTCATACAAAGCGTCTGTCGATCGAGTTAGTGATCTCACGGGGCTTCTAAAACTACGATGTAGTTAAGTCATTTATCCGTATTTGTGCACTTATTTCTAGTAAACATTGTTGTCCTGATAAAATCATACTTCTACGTATGACCTTAGCCATCACACGGCATAGAATGCTATAACTCTGGTTCAATCTTTATTACTAAATATATCTAATATAAACATAAGTTATATAAAAAATACTGTTATCAATAGCAATACCAAATTCTGCTAAATTATATATTAGTCAGGAATCTAATTTGGTCGAAATTTGAGGGGTCAAGGGCCATTAATGTGGCCTCATACCTTCGGTGTGACCGGTGGAATTCACACAATTAATAAACAACTTTTCAAACACTTCCATTTTCAAAGTTTGCTAAGGAATATAAAAGCCTATTGGGTGAATTCGCCGAAGCTCGCGCTCAAAATTATTTTTTTGTAGTGATAAATTTTCCGCTTTTTATTAATTGATCCGTTTATAAGTTGCAATGAATCGTGAAGCCCGTTCTCACGAAATGTGTTTCGCATTCGTCCTTTATCAGAAACAGTAATGACTACTTATTTCCGGGAAGTCCCCAACCATGCGGCAGTTTCAATTCGCGGTGCGAAATTTTATCCCCGACAAAGGCTTTTATGGAAAATGTGTAAAAGTGAGCTCGCTCGATCATTATGCAGCGTGTCGTTACCACCGCGACAATAAATGAACACACGTCTAACGCTACTTGCCAATAATCATAAAAAAATATTAACGTAAAATAATCCATAATTAAAAAAATATATTTTTCGAACAAACTAATTAAGTAAAAAAGAAACAAAATTTGTAACATCCTATACAACTACAACTACTGATTCAT